TTACGGCCACATCACATTGAAACACCGGCTCCTGTACGATCAGCGAAGTTAAGAAACACCCACCTTGGTCAGTACCAAGATGGGTGACCACTTGGGAATATCAAGTTCTGTAAGCTTAGATGTGCGTATAGTGTTAATGGATAATGGCTCGGAATTGTTAATCGGATACCCGAGTTCCAATACCAGTTGTATTTGTTATATTTACCTACATGCAAATATCCTTTGGAAAGGTATGAAACCATATATTCTCTCCCAGCTATGGGTTAATTAGTAAGACGTGTATCACTGAATCGTTATTATCTTTAAAAAGTATTTTCTGGTTTTAGATAACTTGCAAATGGTTGTTAACTCTTAGAAAACGAATTAATGATAAAATGAAATATCAGTTCATAGTAATTGAGTTGGGATATGTGAAAACCAATTAGATGTTTAAGATGTTATTATTCTATTGGCAACGTTTCGTTCAAGGTGACACATTATCAGAACAACTGAAATCTCTAATGAAAAAAATGTCAACGTTATCACTGCCAGAAATGAGTCAAGTGAATTCTCCCATGAATCCCCAACTGCAAAATATCTACCAACCGCCCCACACGATCAGATGTGGCACAAGGCCAAAGTTAATGTTGGGTATCTGAGCCCGTAGGCTCGGCCAGAAATTCCCCATAGATTCCCGAGACGAGACTCTACCCTTCGCCATAGCCTCGTCTGGGGAGCCTCTCTGCTCGGAGGCAGAGAGTTTGACCATCCCAGCTGGAGACAAATCTCCAACTGCAGATCAACATACAGTATTCACTATGTGAATGGAGACATACCCATTATTGCCCGTAGGTATGCTACAACAATGTGTTCGTAAATTCAATAAATCAATGAAGTTTGCTGTTTTGAAATTGTTCTCACTAAAAGGAAAGCTAACAACGGAATAATAACATTTTAAAAATCGAAATGTATATGTTTATATGCGCTTATGCAAAAAATCTATACCTATAGGACTGCACCCCGTTCGACCGCCGACCGAACTTAAGCAGTGTCGATCCTCGTCCATACTTAAACGAGGAACTGCAAATGTAGACAATGTCAGAGTTTATATATGATGCGGGCATTAAATAACCCACCTAAGACTTGCTATCAGTGTTTTCTTTCTTTTTACGTGCCGTGTCCTTTCAGGACGTAGGCGATCATGGCTCTCCCCTTCTCCTATTCCTTGTAGCTCTCAATAAGTTACTTCCCTCTGCCACCTCCCCAGACCATGTTCTGTCCTCCACTTGCTCAAGCTCACCATGTAATATATGTCATACGTTGTCTCTTTTTCCTTCTTTTCGACCTGTGAGTATCAGATTCTACAGGCCCTCCTTTCTCATTACTTGTCCAAGAAACTTCAACTGCCTTTTTCTGATGTTAAGTATAAGCCCCCTCCTTGTTTGCACCCTCTCCAAGACCTCATCGTTGCTCACACGCTCGGTCCATGGTATCCTCAGAATCCTTCTGTAGAACCACATTTCAGCTGCCTCGAGCTCTTCTTCATCTGTCGTAAAGGAGGACATATGCCACGTAACAGCTCTGTACTCTCTTCTTTTTCACCAAAGAGACTCTCCTGTCACGCTATACTCTGCCCAGCTTTTGGAAGGCGTCCTTAGCCATCCCAATACGTCTACAGATCTCAGTGTTGCATTTGCCAACCTCTGTCAAAACACTTCGTAGATATTTAAACTTCCGCACCTGTTTGATTTTAGTGCACCTCGACCTGCAAATCGCATTTCGGACTCAACCATTTGACCGATGACCATGCACTCTGTCTTCTTGTAGTTTATGCTTAGTCCTTTCTTCTCGCTCTCCTTCTCTACCTTCTGTAGGAGGTTTTGTAATTTCTTTTCCGTGTCTGCTGCCGGTACTGTCATCTGCCTATCTTAAGATTGTAGCCGCAGATACTGAATCCCGGTAGGGTTTCTAATTCGCTCAGATTTACCTCGCTGTATAAGTTGAATAGGTCCGGTGAGAAGACGCATTATTGCCTTACGTACCTTTTTATTTTTGTATATTTGCTGAATGCTGTTTGCTGCCAGTATAAGTTCTTGATTATTCTAATATATCACACTACTCGAATCGTATGCGGCGCAGTCTCCAAATTTTTTGACCTGTTCCTAATTGGATCAAGCCTGCCGAATTCTCGGTGCTGATTAACTTCGGTTTTAACATGAGATTGCTGTCAACCGATAGAAAATTTGATTCTAGTCTAGATGTTCATCTGCTAAAATGTTTTTTAGGCCGTGAATTCGCCTTTTCCACACCAGAAACAGAAAAGCCGATTGTGTGATTGATTGATGGATTGATTGATCCGTTTTTTACGGTTTATCAACCCTTTGCAGGTTATTTAAAGCCAGAAAATAATTTTAGTTTGTAAGTATTTCCCAACGGTATTTACGCGTATGTGAATATAACGAACACAACGGCAACTGGAACACGGCCCTCCCCTATTAACAATTCCAAGCCATTAACCCTTAAATCAAGCTTACGGTACCTGGTAAGCCCAAGCGATCACCCATCTAGGTAATAACCTACTGGGAACCAATGTTTCAACATGATATGGCCGTAAACCGATAGAAAAATTGTCATAGAAGTTTTGTTACCTCTAGGAAAGTTGTTTGAATTTTTCTAGTCATAAGCTTACACGTTTACAAGTCGACCATTCGACCATTGAATATTGCTGTCACATCTGGTTTAGCGGTCCGGCTATGTCTTTAGAGATTCTTGATAAAATACAAAAAAAAAAAGACTGTACCAACTTTGATCTTCAAAAATTTAAACGCAATATCAATTGAACAGAAATTAAGAAGACGGGAGATAACTTCTGTCTTCTTAATTCCTGTTCTTTGATTGTTCTCTCTTAATAATGTTATCATTGTGATATATTCTCTCACACTTAACAACCACTTCGCGTCTTAGTGGCTTTATTGCATTGCTTGGGGTGAAATGATTAAAAGAAATCTCTCTAAAATTTCTGTATAAGCGACATTTGCAGCAAGGCACCTATTTTTTAAAAAATTATCATTAGTCTAAATCAATTTAAATTTCCAACTCTGGTCAGAGCAACATAGAACTGACTATAAGCAAAATATTGAATAATTTTCTAATAATAATAATAATAAGAAGAAGAAGAAGAAGAAGAAGAAGAAGAACTAGAATGACCCGTGAAAATTTAGTGGTTCTCCTATTTAAAATTTAATGATTAAGTAAGCTCATGGCAAGTTCTACGACAAAAAAATACCCATAAAAATTCCCTTCTCGCATCATTAAATATTTGAGCCTAACAACTTTCACAAAATATTGCAATAACAATCATAAATATTAATGTTGGTCGTTATTTTAAGAAGTAAGGGGGTACAAATGAAAAGATTTGAAATTGACAACTATTTCTATTTCACTGAAACAAATGTTGAAACCTCTTTCTTACTTTCTTACATTCATTCATTCCCTCACTGAAACCAAGTAGCGTCTCTGATATGTCTTTTTCTTTTTCATGCAGTCAAAATGAAATACTCCATTATTTATGAATTATTGTCTTTTTTTCCTTTACACTGAAACCAAACAGCGTATGTATTTTCTTTAAAGCAACCAAAATTTAATAGTCCGTTATTTATAGAGTATTATCAGAAGACGTCAAACACTTCTTTAATTCTTTCTTTCTTTTTTTTTTCTTTCTTTCTTTTTATTTTCTCACTAAAACCAAGTAGTGTCTTTTTTCCTCTTTCCATGGCATCAAAACAGAATAGACTATTATTTGTGAGGTATTGGCAAGACATAAAAATGTATAGCCTACCTAGACTGCTTGAATAAAACGATGGTAGAATACGGTTTAGAAGAGATAACAAAAAGGAAATTTTATTAAGAGCTAAAAAGAAAGATGGAGAAAGCTCATGGCGAGTCCTACTGACAATAAAATATCCGTAGATTTTCTCCCATCGCATTGTTAATATTAACAACTTTAACAAAATATTGCAAATAACAACAATTAACATGAATGTTGGTCGTTATTCTAAGAAAAAGATTTGAAATTGACAACTTTTCCCATTTCACTGAAACAGACGTTAAAATTTTTTATCTTTCTATTTTATCTCTTTTTCTATACATTTTCTTACTGAAACGCAGTGAAGTATATCGTTTATCAAAAAGGAATAGTCCATTATTCATGAGATATTGGCAAGAATCGTTAAACACTTACTTTCTGATATATATATATATATATATATATATATATATATATATATATATATATATATATATATATATAAACTCGACTCTCCCGTCGAATTCGACGTATGAGGGTCAAGCAGATCAGTTCCCAGGAAACCGACAGCCCGACAACAGCACATGAGATTTGATTATAGTGGTGAAGGTTTCGTGCAGGACCATCAACACTTTTTGAAGGGCCAAATACAGAGACCTGGTGCACTACGTGCCACAAGGTCCCCAAACGACCCTCCGCAGGTTTTGAATTCAGAGTTGTCCTTTTCCTAGACCAGTTGACATCCAAGGCTATAGAACCCAGTCTGTCCTGCTATTTACCCATAGCTGGGAGGGAGAAGAAGAGGATTCACACCTTTCCCAAGGGTATTAACACGTAAGTGAATGATAAATGTATTACTGGTGTATCCAAGTATGATTTGCCGATTTGTTGAAGTAGACATAAATTTGTCAGAGACGGATTTTTTTTAAAGAATTTTTAAAATTTGTTGTAATATATATATATATATATATATATATATATATATATATATATATATATATATATATATATATATAATTTAAATAAAAACAGACCACTTTAAGGTTCCATGTAATAAATTATTTCACCACAGCCCTTATTTAAATTATTTGCTCTGGATTTACATTGAGCTTTCTGGATTTTATCCTCCTTAGGTTTACTCATACGGATTACCTAAGTTTTTCATAAACTATATATATATACATATATATATATATATATATATATATATATATATATATATATATATATATATACAAGTTAACACTGCAATATTTGGGTCAACCCGTTGTATAATTTTCATCCAATTTCCAAATAATTACAGTGGAGGCCGTTCGTAACCCGAAATGTT